ATGCTTGGATCTTGTGTGGGTGCTCTACCCGGTAGAAGTGTTACATTCTGGCCCACCTGCACCATTAAAAGGCATGACTCTGTGTGAAAATTTCAAGGCACCCCTAATGAAGTCAAAAGGCACCCAAGGCTGCCACAGCACCCTGTTTGAGGAAGGCTGATCTACAGCACTACAACAGTAGAAAGGCATCATGGCACACTCACAAACCAGCATGTAAAACAACTTGTCTCACCACTAAGGACAATGACAGAGACAAGTTGTTTTAGTGGTGAGACAAGTTGTTTTACATGCTGGTTTGTGAGTGTGCCATGATGCCTTTCTACTGTTTTACTGTTCAAAGCCCATTTCGTGTGCACCTTACTGTATAACTGGTAACAAATTGATGAGTGCGTTTGTCGTTTGTTTTGCTTGATCTACAGCACTGCCACAAGCTACATTACCAACCTTGTCACAAAATATCACCCAAACTGTCCACTCCACTCCTCTCAAGACCTCCTGCTTTCTAGCTGCCTTGTCACCTTCTCCAATGCTCACCTCCATGACTTATCTGGAGTCTTCCCCATCCTCTGGAACTCTCTACCCCAATCCGGATAACTCATACTCTGTCTGCTTTTTTTCTATCCCCTATCTCGCCTCCTCCTAAAATCTGTACTTAGCTCATCGAATAGCTCATCCCCTCACAGTTATTACCTCTTGTATCACATGCTCCTCCCTTTTAGATTGCAAGCTCTGATAAGCATGGTCCTCCTAATCTTCTTGTATTGAATTGTATTGTAGCTGTTCTCTCTCCCTTTACTTTGTAAAGCGCGGCACAAACTTGACACTGTATCACTGTTTATATCAACGATACTGTGATATCATAGTATGATGTTCATATTTGCTTAAAAATGTTTTAATGGAGTTGTTGTTCATGCGATTTCCTGGGAATATTCCAATTCTTTCTGGACATTTTCAAGCCGCATCTGTTGATATACGCTGCATTTTTTTTAGAATAAATAAGTTGATAGTGGCTAATTGCAACTCTCTTTAGAATATTATGGGGTGTTCATATTTAACTGAGAAATAGCAATTTCTGCTCCACTGAATAATGCATTCCCAATGGCCCTAAAACTGAACAAGGATGTCCTCTAGGAGATATGCCAATCTCCTCTAAGCCATAACTATTTATCCATGCTAGCAATTATAGGAACAAACACAGGACTCTGCTCAAGTCCCCTGAGTGACAGGCATCTTCCAGCTGATAAAGCAAATTCTGTTAGTTTTAATTAAATGAGAATCCCATAAAGAACTGAGCCTTTTACACTTTCATTTCGTAAGAAATAAAAATATTATAGGTTTATTTTATTTTTATTTTTAATTATGTTTTAACTCTTTAGATTTTCTATATGGAGACACTGAAAACGCAATTCATTCCGCCTTTGACAATATACACTATTGTATTACGGTGGGAAAAATCAATATGAAAAAAGTGCTGGCTTACAATATTTGGGTTTATAATAATGATTTTAAATGGTTAGTCAATAGTAAGTAAGACTTGCATCAGCACAGAATTGTTTTTTTTTTAAAGGGCAACTCCATAATGACCTTAATAGTGGAACGTGAGCAGGGATCTGCGGAGCGTATATATTACACTCAACTACGTGACTCAATTTCACTGAACTAAGGCTTGAAAATCCCAGAGCTTTTCTAGGACCGATGGCCTGTACTTCCAAATCTTTGGGGGTCATTTATCATTTCTTTTTTTTCATCAAGAATGTTTCAGAAAGCCACCAATTGTATTTATAACCTGCCCTGGAAAATGACAGTTGGAGAACCAAGCTTTGAGCCTGATTGATGGCTTTGGGGAGACATAGAACAATTGTTGCCTAGAACAAATCAGGTTGCTGTGATGTGAGACATACTCCTATAGACTTTGAGGAGCCTGTACATCATAAACACATTTTTAAAACATAAAATACTTGCTTTCAATTTTTTTAAATATTTCGTTGCATCTTACATGTCTACATCAGGGGTGGGCAAACTCTGGCCCTCCGGCTGTGGTGAAACCACAAATCCCAACATGCATCTGTCCCTGGGAGTCATGCCTGTGGCTGTGAGAATCTTGCAATGTCTCATGGGATTTGTAGATCCACAACAGCTGGAGGGCCTGCGTTTGTCCACCCCTGTACTACATACATTCACTCAAGTGACAGCTATACAACGTTCCTCAGGACAGGTTTCCCAATGGAGAAAAACGTGTGCCATGCCTAGGTAATGTGTGTTAAAACTGCTACTTGTGATCTTCATCAGAAGCTGTGTGACAGTGACAACGCAGAAGCACAATTGGGAGACAGGGACATAGCGTTGTCACCCTTTAACAGGAAGTGCCTGAGCAACGATCTGTAAGGCAGAATCAGCAGGTATTCTCTGAAAGCTTATTTGACATTTTAGCGATTGGGTTTACATATACTTTAATGTAAATATTTTAACTGGTAACTGTTTTATATATGACAAACCTTGTTTCTATGTAAAGGTTGTAATTCTTTACATGATATAAATAGATATACAGTACAGGCTGTGCTTTATAGTCCAGCAGTGTTTGCGCTTAAAATTGACCAAAATTTGTTTTCGGAATGTTCATTCAATTTTCTAATCGCTATTGGTGTTAAATCGATGAGAGAAATCGAAGGGGTGGGATGGAAATTTTTTCTTGAATAAACAAAACTCCATTGATTCCACAGTGGAATGTTAAAATCCAATTACATTTTGAACAACATTTGTCCAAGTTATGATAGTTTGTTTCTCAGATCTGACTGAGTGAAAACAATAGGATCTCTAGGAGGGTGAGTTGAAGATGGAGCCTGGTGACAGCAATGTAATACATATAGTCAAACAGTTTTCTTTAACTCTTGGAGCTAATGGCTGCCAGCTGAACGATCCACTCGCTGTTGCATAATCAAAGTTTTCAACAGTTTATCACAGTTTTTCACACAGACTTGAGGGACTGCTCATCCAAGGCTCTGGTGCTTCCACCACGAACAAAGAAAACAAAAGGGAACAGATGTGTAAAATCGTTTATTAAAATAAATAAAGCAAGGGATATACACTGAGTGGCCAGTTTATTATGACGTTTGTAGGAAAGTTAGCTATAATTAGCTATAATTTCGCGCTGAAGTTGCTAGAGGGCCATACCATTATAAATAGGGAAGCAGGTTGCTTACCACGACAGTAGAAATTATTTTTTTCTGAAGATTTGGGTAAACAACGTGATTTAACAGCCTTTGGGCGTGGGATGATTGTTGGCGCTCGGAGCCATGGAGCGAGTATCAGCAAAACAGCAGAATTCGTTAAATGTTCAAGAGGGGCTAATTGTTAAAGTGTTTAAAGACTGGACTGTCAGCCGAAAATCTGGGTCTGAACGTGCGAATTGTGGCTGTCAGCGACTAGTCAATGTTAGGGCAGAACGGAGAGTGGCAAGACTTGCACAAGACAACAGAAGGGCAACAGTGCAGTGTCAGATTCCTCACATCACCTTTCAACATCTCGTGGAGTCACGAGGTGGCCCAACGAAGTCATCTCGTGGAGTTATCTCGTGGCCCAATGAAGTACTGATGGAGTGGTCATAATAATCTGGCCACTCAGTGTATGTACTCACAAGCAAAGTTTTTTCTTCACGCTTTAACAACAAACAAGAAGCCACACTGTCTGTTAAGCCAACATGGTATCGCCCCGACTACACACACAGTGTATAGTGTGGCACAGCTATATCCAATTCTGTATAACTGGCTTTATATTATTATTATTAAAAAAATGTTTTTAAATAAAGCCACGTATGCAGAATTGGATATAGCTGTGCCACACTATACAGTGTTCTTGCCTGGAGTCTGGACATGTGCTCGTCTATTTTTCCCATTAGGGGGATACAAGCCTTTTTAGCAATATCTACATAGTTATTTCTTTATTTAATGTCTTTTAAAAAAAAATACTATATGCAGTTAAACAGCATTTTTGTGCCCAGCCCCCATGTGGTGCTGCAGTACTAACCTGCTGTGTCGTCTTCTCCATCTGCTTCAGCCACTCCGTGTCACAGCCTAGTCATCTGCTCTATTCTGACCTCTTCTCCCGCTGATTGGATGATTGACAGGCTTCTTCACCAGTCACTCCTGACTGGTGAGGAAGCCTGTCAATCATACAATCAGCGGGAGAAGAGGTCAGAATGGAGCAGATGACTGAGGACTTGGAGGAGGAGATTGCGGCCATCTTGTTTCATTAAAGACGATATGGAGGTCCTGTGTGCGGCGGTTTCGGGTCCTTGAAGATGGCGGACGCGGCACAGGTACTCATTTTTTGTATCGGAGTATTTGCACAAGTACGAGTACTCATGCAAATACTCTGTATCGCCGCCGATACCGATGCTTGTATCGGTATCGGAGCATCCCTAGTCTTTATAGTAGTTACCCATCTAGTGGCTAAACTATAAGTATCTCCATATAATACAATAACAAAATATGGAAGAAAAACCATATCAAAATGTAAAATCCAAATAAAAATAAACACATACACTGTAAAAATAACTTAAGATATTTGCTTACTGAAAATACACTATACTTAATTGTTATGATTAAAGGAACAATATTTCAAAATATATGCTGTGTGAGCAATACTCGTGATTTCCGAAAAGTTCTGAATGTTTGTTTGATTTTCTAATATTTAATGAGATCAAAAGTACAATTGATTTTATTCTGGAAACTCCATTCATTCCAAAATCAAACAAAATTTGGAACAACGTTGTTAAAGTCTCTGATGGCGTTATCGAATGTTCTGAAGAGAATTGTTGTATGAATGTTCATACGAATATCTGCCAGTGTATGGTCATCTTTACACTAGAAATCTGCAGGAAATTCCTTCTAGTTCCTATTGCCAAGATGATTTAAATCCCTTTCCATATAGTCTTCGTTACTGATCAGAATTATTTGTAAATCAGATCTTTATTTTTAATCATCATTATTATGTTGTTTTAGGTCTGATTGAATTAGAAAACAACTCCAAGGTGAAAGCTGTGATAGATGACAGACAAATGCCTTTCTCCGAGTTCGTACACATTCAGCTGGACGACTACAGTAAGCTTTATATAACACTGATGTGTTATATGTCATTATGATTTCTTAGTTTTGTTATCCTGTAGGAGATACAGTAATTTGGGGTTTGGGGTATTGCAAATAGGGGATGTTTAAAGTTGAAGAACTGAAAATATTTGGTAAAGGATGTAAGCAAATCTGTCAGTATGATAAAAATACATAATATGCATCAGTACAATCAATTACCTAGCGGTGGATACACACACCTGATCCTTCAATGCCGGTAAAGCCTTACAGCCCCATTCACAGCAGATCAATTGGCATCTGTTTTTCAATGGATGTCAACGGAAAGGAACCCAAAAATGTATGTGTGTGAACCGGACCAGTTGTTTGAGTTGCATTGGCTGCTCTACTTTTTTCAGCACAATGCAACGTGTGAAAAATGCCTGTAGACGCAATGCAATTAAAAAAAAAAAAAATACAGAGAATTTTGTCCACTCAGGACATGTTAGTTAAACTAAAGATTGAAAAAAGAGTATGGAATTGCAAGAAAACGAACCTCAGTTGACTTCCATTTTTAGGTCAGATTTTGGTGTGAATAGACCCTAAAACTGTGGTTGCTGCACGATGGCAGTTTTGACGCTCCTTGGTAGTGTTGATGCTGGCTAATCTCCCAAATATTCATATTAACCAATCACTATGGGGGTTATTCAAAAAGCTAGCCGAAGGATCAGCCATAGCTCTGGCTGATCCTTTGGCTAGCTATAGCCCATACAGCTCCCGAAGTTGGCCAAAGGCATATGCTTCGGCTAGACTGAGCAGAGGTGAAAGCTGAAGCGGGCCGAACGGCCGGCCATTGGCCATTGGCCGGCCGAAAGCCTGCTACTGTGAACGGGCGGAGCCGGCTCTGCTGAGCTCTCATTGTACCTAGGTGTGAACGAAAGCTAAAGCTTGAAATTGGGAGCACTGATTGCTTTTATAAAGCCATTTATTAGTAGCTCCATACGAATTTTCCCCTTGGAACACAATCACTTCAGGGCTGTAGTAAAATAATTAGAATAAAGCCATGCTGTGCTTTATTTAATTGTAATCAATGTAACATTGGCATTTAGTTGCAAGTGAGATAAGTGAAGATTGGAGTAAACCAAAGATGTTTAGTTTATTTTTTATATAAAGCCCATTTATTTCAGTGTCTACTGTAAATCGAGGCATTGCTGTTGTACTCAGGCCCGTCTTTAATACTGATCGGACCCTGGGCAAACATTTTCTTGGGCCCCCCCAGGAATTTCTCTCACCTCCCCAACACCCAGAAAAAAAAAAAAACAGCACACATAGATCATAGACTTCTCTCAAAAAAACTTTGACTGCAGGATTTCAAACCGATTGCAAGCTCAGCCGTTTATATTAGGGATGCACCGATATATCGGCCGCCGAAACATATCGGCCGTAAATGCCACTTTTGGCATAATGCCGAAAGTGCCATTTCCCCTACCAGGGCTATGTGGGGTCTCACCACAGAGATCCCAAAGAGCCCCGGTGAGATCCCAAAGAGCCCTGGTTAAACTTGGGCTCTATAGGGTCTCACCAGGGCTTTGTAGGGTCCCAACAGGGCTCTGTGGGGTTTAACTAGGGCTGGCGAGACACTACAGAGCCCTGGTTAGATCCCACAGAGGCCTGGTTAAACCAGGCCTCTGTAGGGTCTCACCAGCACCAGGGTTCTGTAGGGTCTCTCCAGGGCTATGTGGGGTCTCACCAGCCTGGTTAGACCCATCAGAGCCCTGGTGAGACCCCACAAAGCCCTGGTTAAACCAGGGCTCTGTAGGGTCTCACCAGCACCAGGGTTCTGTAGGGTCTCACCAGGGCTATGTGGGGTCTCACCAGCCTGGTTAGACCCCTCAGAGCCCTGGTGAGACCCCACAGAGCCCTGGTTAAACTAGGGTTCTGTGGGGTCTCACCAGGGCTCTGTGGGGTCTCACCAGTCCTGGTAAACCCCACAGAGCCCTGGTGAGAACATACAAAGCCCTGGTTTAACCAGGGCTCTGTGAGGGCTCACCAGGGCTCTGTGGGGACTGGTTAGACCACACAAAGCCTGGTAAAATCCCACAGAGCCTTTGTTAAGCCAGGGCTCTGTAGGGTCTCACCATGGCTCTGTAGGGTCTCGCCAGGGCTCTGTAGGTTCTAACCAGCTTGGTCAGATCCCACAGGGCCCTGGTGAAAGCCCAAAGAGCCCTGGTGAAATCCCAAAGAGCCCTTCAGAGCTCTATAGGGTCTCATCAGGACTTTGCAGGGTCTCAACAGGGCTCTGTGGGGTTTAACCAGGGCTGGTGAGACCCCGCAGGGCCCTAGTTAAACCAGCGCTCTCCACAGCGCTCTCCTCAGGGCTCTCCAGGCCGCCACTCACCAGTACTGTGCTGACCGTGTCTCGGGGGCGGGAGCTGGCAGGAACGTGCAGGAAGGTTTTTTTTTTCCTGTGCTGATTCTACGGTACGACCGCGGCGGTACGGACACCTTGTCGACCTGTGCGCTACGCGGGCGATCCGATCAGCAAGTTTCTGCTGGCAGCGGGCTCAAGGGGCAGCTGCTTTGGGCCCCAGCCATGAATGGGCCCGGGGCAAGCGCCCTCTTTGCCCCGCGTTAAAGACGGCCCTGGTTATACTGAGTAAGGGCTCATTCACATGTGTGATTAGGGCGGGACGTGTGAAAAGCTGCAGCCGGGAAGCCTGTACAAAGCAATGACAGGCTGACAGGAGCCACGGCCGTTCCCTGCTGTTCACAAGCAGCTGCATATCCAGTGGTTACCTGTGGTTAGGGACAGACCAATTGCACCCAAGGTCGAAAATCTATCCCTAACTGCGGGTAACCACTGGATATGCAGATACATGTGAATAGCGGTGGACAGCTGTGGCTCCTGTCAACCTGTCACATACATCTGTGATCCTAGATGCAGGAATCCAAGCCACACGTGTGAAGGAGCCCTCATTAAAGGGTGTAATATATTCTTTCAGAAACGTTCAAAATAAATTAGGAAGATAAAGGACACATCTTAAAAGTTAATGTTCCAGCTTGTTTCAGCCGTGTCCTCCATCTTCTTGTACACTCTGAGTTCATTTATATCGGCGGCATTGTAGAAATGTACCTGCTCAAGGGCATTGGCTTTAATTTTAAGAACATTGCCTGTGATGTTAAGAGACACAAGAGCAAATGTGTTATCCGTGTGGTGTTAATAGTCAGGTTGATACATGACGCTTGTATTGTTAATCGTAACGAACAAGATAGAACAATAGATCTAACAACAATTCAATTTACGAATGCTTGACTGGCTGATTCACTTAATGATTTTGTGCTTAATTTGACCTGAACTAAACCAGAGACATCTCAGTGACCGTTCAATCCTGAACGTGAAATAAACCTTAACATTTTTTTGTTCTCTCTTTTTTTTAAAGAATTGCCAATGCAGATTATCAAGCCAGCGACCTTTCTAAACACGGCGCATTATCCTCTTCTACTTATTGTGTGAGTATGACCAGATTAGTCACATTTCAGACCATGTTAAAGAGACCCTGTCACCTCATTAAACAATTGAAGGTAATAGCACAGACAAGTCAAGTATTTTCAGTGCTTGCTTGCAGTGTTTTTCCTTTCCATAAATTATTTTTTTTGACTTGCAATGTGCCTTTGAACTTGCTAGAGAATTTAACTAGTAAAGTACCTAGAACAGCCCCCTTTCTCTTCATAACCCTCTCCTCTTCTGGGAGTGTTTATTTACTCTTTGTGATGGTCAAGTTCCTCCGCCCTTGTCCTGACCTCCCTATAAACCCTTCCATGTAGCTGCAGGGGAAGGACTTGAGTGACAGCTCTTAGTCTACCGGGGCTGCTGACATCACATCCAAGATGGCGGCCCACTGCAGCAGTCTCAGGACTTTTGGGTGTCTACAAAAGGGAGGCTTTTTATGGTAAAAAATGCATAAAATATGTTCAATCCACATATAATCTTATGGAAGGACTGTTGTCAAAACAAATGCTTTGGTGACAGGGTCTCTTTAAGGGTTGTATTAAAATGTGATGCATTCTGTAATGTCTAATAGGTACAGTTAATGCCTAATTTACCTGGAAATATGTGTTACTTTTGTGTTTTACATACTTGAAATTGATACTTCTGTGTAAGTTTTCATAATAATTCATTATACATTGTTGTAACCACTAGATGGTGCACCTATTTAAACCTCTTAACCTAGATCCAGAGTCTAGGTGCCTAGGAGTTTGCAGACATACATCTATTGTAGGTCAGATTTTGTCTTGTCAGATATTAAAGTTCACCTGTGCCCCGACTATGAACATAAAACTTTTTACATATTCTTAACAAGCAGGAAAAATAGCTTTAAAAGTCCCATATACACCTCTCAAACTGCTTGTACTGTAAAGTAATTCAGTCTTAACCTTGAAGAGGAACTTCACTCCTCCCCCCATTCTTTGTTTTTTATCCCCACTTACCTGTGGCGCTGAGTTCTCTTATTCACCCGCTCAGAAAAACTCTGCTGAAACAGGCTGGGTCCTGCACCACTATCTTCCTCCACTCTGCCATTTGGACCTGGATGTCTCTTCTGGGTTCAGGCTGCCAGCCCCCAATCACCCGCCTCTGGGTTCACCTTCCGGCCGCTCCATTTCTTTGCTCCTGCAGCCTTCTGGGATATGCAATATAGATATCCCAGGGGGCAGGGACACGTCATTCTGACCTAGACAAGAATGAAGGCAGTGGGGCACTGTCAAATGTAAAAAAAATGTAAACAGCCCCCCTGCCTAAAAAGTCTATTCTGATTGGGAGGAAGCCTGGGAAATTAAGTTGAAAGAAAGAGTGGGGGTCAGCTTTAAAGATCACAACAAAGACTCTGAAGTCAGTTTCAAACACTTGCTGTGTGTTTACATTAGAAGTCTGGCAGGCTGCCAAGATCTGCTCTTTTAGAAGAAAAGCTGAGATTTCAGTGCCTGTGTTGTGAAATATGAAAATAGAATTTATCCACAATGTATGTAGCTAAAGAGGTGAATTAGGTCTTAATTTAAAGTGCTCTTACTGCTAGTTCAGGATATGTAAATATTGTATTGTGCATAACCTGGGCACAGATTCACTTTAAATTAGCACACAAATGCTTTTACATCTGTTTTCCTTGTGTTCTGTAAAAGCTTCCCCTTCTCTTTCCATGTCATCTATTCCAAAGCTTTTCTCTGTCACTAAGGTGACATTCATCTTTATTCCAGTACAGTTAACATGCATTTTATACGTGTTACCATTCCTGTCTAGGGAATATGTGCTTTGCCAGAAAAAGGATAAAAATTGCAGCAAGCATCATATCTGCACCCCAGCCAAACTCATTGAATCATGCTTTGCAACTCTCTGGTTTGATATAATGCATTTAAAAATACTGCTTGTTGCATCTTTGCAGTTTCCAGCAAAATGTACCTGCCATAGGGGAATGCATCATTAAATTGATTTTTTTAATTTGAAAGCAGCAGAGCACAGCCAGGAGGGGGGGGGGCGGAGGGAGCACAAGGAGCCAATCAATTGTGTGGTATTCAAGGATCATGTTGATAGGAGATGACAGCGGAGTGACAGAGAGATGAGCTTATCAGTCTGCTGCTTCTCCTTTCTCTTTCCTGGCTGGTGAGGGACAAGGTCTGTAAGTGCTACTGGAATGCAGCCAAATAAAATCAGGCCTTCTGCCCTGCCAGAATGGATTGTGCTGCAGGATAGAGCTGTGTACATCTCAGGAATGAATGGAGAGAAACACAAATTATATGGCAGATAAAAAAAAAGCTCTTATATACATATTTAATCCATGCATTTCAGCTGTAATTCAGCTTTTACTGCACTGTGTGAAAAATACAGAGGTACAATTGTAATCTTACCATGGGTAAACATTATGAATAATAGGGCAATCGATTATGGGATGGAATGTGAAAATGCACAGATAGGCCACACAGGAAACAATAAATGGAGCTTAAAACATTATCAACTATACACTGAAATTATTAGATTTGCAAAAGGGACTAGAAAAACAAGATCAAAGATGGGGTTTTCCTTAAATTATATTTATTTAAAAAATGTAAACATGAAAAATGAGTTCAATTTAATATGCAAAACATGTTAATAACATTTCAAATCCAGTAAGATTTCTCCATGTTCTTTTTTTGTGTATTTTCAGTATAGTGGCAGTTTCTTTCCATTCCAGTTTGACATTTGACTAATATCCAGAAATACATCCCTAATATTACATTTCAAATGTCAGTCTCTCACATGATGAGCAAAATTCTTTTTCAACCTTGACTTTCCATAGACTTTAGCAAATTGAACATTCAATATATAAACATAGCTTGTAAAGGAAGAGGAAGGTAAAAACTGGACATTTCAGATAGAATAGCCCGGTGAGAACAGGTATAAATCAATATAATATCAAATGTCACAAGTTTAAGTGGCAATTGCCACTTTGTGCCCTCGGTTAGCATTTTACCGCATATATACAGAATCATAGTTCGGAGGAGAAGGAAATGGCAAACTCTTATTGAATTGAAGTGCTATCATCTGCTACTTTCAGAGTTAAAGTGAGCTAGTTTTCATTTTAATGCTTAGTCCACCCAATGCTGATTCTTTATTTGTGAATGGATGCTGGCTAGGCTTATGCATTCCTTGTGGACTCTGTGGAAAATTTTCTGCAAATGTCTTCCCACCTCTACCCACAACTTTCCCTAAGCATTGAGGTTTTTTTATTTTATTTTAAAAGTTGATGGATGTAATTTGGTCATTCTGAAAGGCTGCTTAGCTACAACCAAATGCCAGTTGCCGAGAATGGGCAAAGCTCTGACACTTCTGGGTAGTGTCAGAGCTTATTTGCTCCCTCCCACCCCACCTGCCTCATTCCTATTGGCCCATTACTGTGATGGAATGCTCCCTTGGGAAACAGGAAAGTGTGTGAAGGGGTGGGCATACTTTGTCACTACCAGGAAGTGCCCATTCAGAATAGCTGGCAATATGGCCATAGCAAAGAACAATGTGTGATAGTTGTTGCAGGTACTGCACTTTACATATACCTTCCTTGAAAATGTGGGGTCGATTCACGAAGCTGCCGAAGGATATGGCCGTAGCTTCGGCCGAAGGGCTGCCTACAGTAGCTTAGTGAATAGACCCCACAATGTCAAAATGCTCGCAAGATCCAGATATAAGCAGCAAAGATTTTATGTAGATCTTCACTCTCAAAAAAGAATTCTGCCTCCCCAGCTGTATATTAGTCACCCTTTTTAACCTCACTGACCAATAGGGAAGCATGGGAGGGATATGGCTATCTTCCCATGTTTCTGGATCTACAGATTGTTTTATATGGATTTTTTACTAAAGATAACCTTTGGTCATTTTTTTTTAATCATATGCCATTTGAATTGTCCCAGTGTCCCATGTGACAGGATTAATTTCAACTGGAACTCTATTTTTTTTTCCACAACCACCCTCCACAGGAAATTGTTTTTGTATATATATATATATATATATATATATTTACAGTTATGAAACACG